GACAGGTCTATAGTTAGTAAAGACGTGCTTGTTACCAGACTTAAACATTGGAATCACTTTAGCACTTTTCATTTTGTTTGGAAATATCCCATTTTGCAGTGAAATGTTACAAATATAAGTGAATGGTTTTGTTTTGCAATCTATGACTTTTTTAATGAATCTCATGTCAATATCAAAACAGTCAGTGGAACATTTATTTTTACACTTACCAACAATTTCTTTCATTTCAGTTTCATTTACACCTGAGAGAAAGATACTTTTTGGATTTCTTTCAATTAGTGACAGGTCTCCTTCATTTTCAGGGATTCCAGCTAAGTCTGGTCCCACATTTACAAAAACCTGATGACATTTGTTTAGCACATTTTGCATATGGTAATTGTCATCATTCCATCCATAAAATACTCTGGGTAGTTATCTGTGATATTGGCCTTTTCTTTAAGTCACCCATTCATTACATCCCATATTCCTTTGATGTTGTTTTGGTTTGGATTTCATCACTTCTCAAAATACTATTTCCTACTCGTTCTTAATATTGTAGTCAACCTATTTTTATATACCTTATCTTTATTTTCACATTCCATGGTTTTTGCTTTCAAGAACTGTTTATACAAATGATTATTGTTTCTACAAGCATTTTGTAATCCCCTGGTCTTCTCACAGGGACATTTCTCACAGGGCAATTTTGATTATAAAGGTTCCAAAATATATGAAGAAACATGTTCTAAGCTTGGTCAACATTCCTTTCACTTACTACACCACTCCAGTTTAGAATTGACAAGTCACATTTCAATGATTCAATAGTACTTTCAGATAGCACTCTTTTGTATACGTCATTCTGAGTGTTTGTGCTCTTCATATTCTTATGGTGACATAAAGTAAAAACAGGTAGATGGTCAGTTATATCACATATCATTAGTCCACTTCATTTCAATAAATCAATGTCATTTGTGAAGATATTATGGATGAGAGGAGCACTCTGTGAAGTGATTCTACTCGGCCTGGTGATTGCAGGAAATAAGCTCATACTATACATAAGGTTCATAAATTCATCCGTGTTTTGATGTTTATTGGGATTCATGAGATCTATGTTGTAATCTCCTGTAATATACATTGATTTATTTGTTCTATGTGCACCATCAAATGTTCTATACTTGAACCTGGTGTTCTGTATAGGCAGCTTACTATTATATTTGTTTTCCTTTGGCAGATTAGATCAATAGTTATACATTCAAATAGCCCATCAACAGTAACAGACATATTTTCAACCATTTTAAATGTTAACTTCTTGTTTACATAAATAGCCACACCTCCTCCTGTTTTGTTTTTCCTATTTCTGTAGTTGACTTCATAGCCTTCGAAGTCAAAATCTGTCCCTTTTTGGTCGTTCAGCCATGTTTCTGATAATGTTATGATACTAAAAGGGACTCTAAATGTATCAAGATATTCTTTGATGCTACTAAAGTGTTTGTACATGCTCCTACTGTTGAAATGTATAATTGATAAGTCATTCAATGTATCCATAGAGTTATAATCATCATCAGAGTAATGTTTACAATTCACATTAGAAAAAAAAGTGCTGTCTGGATCCATGTCTTTCTCTGGGTCATAGTCCTCATGCTCTGTTCAATCAAATGTATTTAACTAACTCCAGAGACTTCTCTCAAGTCACGCTGCTTCTATTGACGGAAGTGAGCGGGAGAGAAGTCTATAGGAGTTAGTGCGCGGACGTAGCTCTCCTCGTATTATTACACCTCACGATATAGTTCCTCTTTTTATCCTCTGAGAAAATGGACATGTTACATTTCTGTGTTACTATACTTTGTAGAGTAACACGTCACATAACTGTATTTAAATAGGGAACACGTGGAAGAGTTTGGGAGCTTCTAACGGGAGCTGATTTGGAACTATACAGTCTGTGGAAGAGGCTGCGTTTGTGCTGCGTTTGCATGACAGAGCACACGGACACAGACCAGACAGGTACATATCAACTAGTCTAAGGTAAGAACATGTGTCAGTATGTAAACACGGGGCCCATTCCTTTAATGAAGACTTTCAACTGGGCCATGGAAAGGAAGAGCACTCCACCCTCATGGAAGGAGGCCATCATCTCCATCATCCCAAAAGAAGGAAAAGACCGCTTGGAATGTAGTAATTATCGACCCATTAGTGCACTGAACATTAACTACATATTGTTTACATCCATATTAGCAAAACAACTGGAAAACCTTTGACCTCCACTAATACATAAAGATCAGACTTCATCAAACAGAGACACAAGACAGAATCAGAAGAGTGCTCCACGTCCCCAGTTTTTGCTCCATGCAGGTGTAACAGGTAAAAGTATTGTATTCCACTTGTTATAGACACTGTATTATTGTGGAACAGCGCCCTCTTGGGGTGATAAATCCTTTAAGTCTTGGGGAAAAATGTGCTCGGCGCCATTTTCACTATAAGCAAGCCGAGGTATGGTCACAAATTTAGTGTGTCTGCTAAAGTTACATTTGTATGTTTATTTTTCAATTGTATGGCTGTGTGGGATGCTTGTAAACTTGAAAACGTCAATGTTTAGTTAAATTAGATTGCAGTTCAGTACATATAGGAATGTCTGTGGAGTACAGAATAAAGTTTAAAATCCTTCTCTTAACATATAAAGCCATAAATGGCTTGGCTCCTTCTTATCTCCAAGACACGTTAGTGTCGTATCAACCAAGTCGAGCGTTGCGCTCACAAAACGCCAGACGTCGGGTGGTTCCTAAGGTCTCAAAAATCACTGTTGGCGGCAGAGCATTTAGCTACCAAGCTCCTTTACTGTGGAATCAGCTTCATTTATGTTAAGCAGATACGGTCTCCACATTCAAGGCCAGGCTTAAAGCACTATACTTTAATTTAGCATATAATTAGGTAATATATAATATATGGTGTATATATTATATATATATGCTGTATTATGTTATATATTATGTTATATATTATACAATATATGTATTATGTTATGTATTGTGTTATGTTGTATATTATGTTATATATTATGCTGTATGTTATGTTATGTATTATATATGATATATATGGTATGTATGGTATATATGATGTATATGATATATAATATATAATTAGGTTTGCTTTACAAGTTTGTTTACAAGTATGGTTTCCCTAGTTCTCCCCAAGGTTTCTCACTTTTTCCCACTGGGTTTTTTAAGAGTTTTTCCTTGTCGATGCAGGAGGGTCTTGTTGGACAGTTAGTGTCCAACAGAAAGGATTGGTGATGATCAGGACACTTTAGCATTCTACAACATGTATGGACATTTTCTTCTGTGTGTGCTTTATATTCTTCATGTGTTTTAACTGTTGATTCTCTGACCTGTGTTGGTGATTTCAATGGTTTTGTTAAGTCTCTGAGATGACTTCTGTTGTGACCTAGGGCTATACAAGAATACATTGTATTGTGTTGTATTGTATTAACCTTTTAAAATGTATACCCCACTATCTGCTACTCGCTTGCGGTGTCCCAGGTCCAAGGCTGACCAGCTATTTTGTGTGTTGCACAGATAAAGAACTTGTTATACTACCTTGTCTCCTGGCGGTTACTCTACTTACAACACAACGCAGTCAACCACGTTACACAGGGGAAGAGCAAAAACTGGCTTTTTTTGCCCATGATTTGTCACTGACTTTATCCCACACACAAACTCTTCCATAATAATGAAGACACTTGAAGAATACGGCACATTCTCAGGGTATAAAGTCAACATAAACAAAAGTCACATTCTAACTCTAAATTATGACCCCCCACAAAGGATTAAAGACTGCTGTAAATGGACTTCCTCCGTTACCTTGGAATAGTTTTGCATAAAGATTACACACAGATATTCGATGTAAACTACGGCCTCTAAATAATACATTGAAATCTGATTTACAAAGATGGAATACTAAACCATTTTTAGACTTACACTTTAGAATTGAATCCATTAGTATGATTGTCCTCCCTCGGATGCTATATTCCAATGCTTACCAAGTCCTATCCCAGATCAGCAGTTTGCAGAGTGGGACAGATTCATAAAAGGTACATATGGAACGGAAAGAAACCTAGAGTGAAATATAAGACACTAGAGTTAAAGAAAGCTGTTTAAAAGCAAACTTTTATGCTGCCCAGACCCCTCGTGTGCATGTGCTCCCCCATCTACAAGGCACTTCAATTAAATGATGTCACTTGGAGAAGGATTCTCGGCTCTTGAAATGGTGCGCTTATGACTCTGAGTTTGGCCCAAATCAAATGGACAGTAGATTTAAAGTTTGGATTTCAAAAGCTCTGACAGGCTTTAACTTTTTTGTCCACAAGGGAGAGTTGCAACATTTTAAACATTAAAGCAAAAACATGGGCTGGACTCAGAAGATTTCTTTAGATACCTACAGGTCAGACACTATTTCAATGAAAACATCAACATACTTTCAGGTGATCATGGGTTCCTACAGGTATTTATGTCTGCAACCAAGTCCATAAACCCAAAATCATCTGAAAGCTTTATAACGGTCTCCTGCTGAGCAGAGGCGGGAGCACACATTATGTGAAAGAGAAATGGGAAAAGGAAGCAGAGGTTGATATCAGAGGATGATGGGAAAACATCTGCAGAATATCATGGATCTCAACCGGGTCAAACGTTTACGTTCTTCTGTTGGAAGAACACCAAGTGTTTTTTATCACACCATCTCAGAACAAGTACCAGCGGGTGACGCTGGTTGGAGATGTGGCCAAACTGGAGCAAGCCACCATCATATTTTTTGGGAATGTAAAGTTATTCAGTAATACTGCTCGGAAGTTCTTCTCTGAGATTTTGCCCTGTCATTTGAAAATTTAAATCTAGAAAATTTAAATCTGGGGCATTAGGCAGATTTCACTGGAACGACAAGAAATTGCTCTATTTTCTTTTAGCTGCAAAGAAACCATAAAATGGCTCAAACCTGAGAGGCACAACTGGGGACTGGACCAATATTGTACGACAGATTTACGTCACTGAAAAGATGTAGAAGGAGGAGAAGATGCTGAGGGAGGTGTAGAAGGAGGAGAAGATGCTGAGGGAGGTGTAGAAGGAGGAGAAGATGCTGAGGGAGGTGTAGAAGGAGGAGAAGATGCCGAGGGAGGTGTAGAAGGAGGAGAAGATGCCGAGGGAGGTGTAGAAGGAGGAGAAGAAGCTGAGGGAGCTGTAGTGTCTGGACCAAGCTCAATAACACAGATCTCTAACTCTATCTCTAACTATAACTCTAACTTGTGGTACAGTGAATGCTCATATTGCAGATGGTTCAGATCCTAATCTCATGTTGTGTTCTTTGTGTGACAAGGCAACAGGAAACAGGAAATGGTGGGAGGGGCAAAGGTTTCAAAATGGAGAGAGAGGGAAATCAGGGCCTTTCACTCCACTCCATGCAGTGAGCATGAGGGCAGCTGAGCCTGAGGGCAGTGAGCCTGAGGGCAGCTGAGCCAGGGGGAACAGCGCAGTCTTAAAAGGTGAATACAGCACATGAATTGTATATAGTGTGTAGATAATCACACAACTCTCCCTGTGGGTGAAGTAAGCCACGAGGAGAGTCCACAGCTTCATGTGGTTTTAGCCATGTTTGGGAGGGGTGTCTGGAGAGTCAAAGGTGAATAAACTGTTATTGATAAATAGGTTATTCTGTGTATTAACCTATGGTCAAAGATTGTATTTGTTAAGTTACCTGCAGGCCTCTTTATCCTGCGTGTCTGGAAAGAATCAACTTTTACACTGTTTCAGGTAAACTATTTTTTGTGCTAGAGCTAACTATAAATGTTTCTGTGACTGTTCTTAAATATTGTTCTTGTTACGGTGAATCCAAACACGACACTTTAAGCTGGCCACTGTTTTATCCCATAACTGTTTATTTATATATTGGGCTAAAATAATTTGCATTTGATCTCACCCCTCTTGCATGGTCTTGCTGTGAAACTAACATTGCACTGCATGGTTTTAAACTGTTAACTTGAATTGATGATTTTTAACCATTTGAATATATTACTTTTAATACTCCTATGAAATAAATTCTGCTGTTGTGCTGACAATGAGTCTCCTTAGTTTAATTGTTATATTACAATGGCTTGGTCACACTTGGCGTTGCTGGCTTAGGATTTAAAATTGAGACTCACTTTTGTAGTATTAGTAGCCCAAGTAGGTTAACAGGGAGAAAAACAGTGGCCGGCCAGTCAACTTCAATCAGATCAACGGGACGGTCTTCGGGACGCCATCATCACCAGAGACTGTTTGAAAACATGGACATTCAGGCCATTTTAACCCAGGTACAACAGCTTCAGGCTGAAAATGAACAGTTAAGGGCACAGATGGCGCAACAAAGCACCGAGCCACAAGCAGGACCGTCGAGTGGCAGAGGTGGCTCTGCTTCAACACCAAATGTCACTTTCCCTTCAGTGACTGTACCAAGCCAACGTCTATATGTGCCAAGGGAACGTAAATGCACAACGTTTTCTGGTAAATTGTCTGTTGATTTGATAACTGTTGAATAATGGATAGAAGAGGCCGCAGGTGCATCACAGACATGTCAAATGCTGAACAGATTCTTTTTTTGTATGATGTGTCATCATTTATTAAATTGTGAAATTATATTTGTAATCATGAAATTGTATAGTTTTATATCAAAAGTCTCTGAGGTCAAATGAGTTTGTGCAAAACACAGACGGTCACAAGACAGAAACTAAAATGTCAAGAGTTTAAATTGATGACAGACAAAATATGGCACTTTTGCTTCCTGTTTCTCCGAAGTGTTTTTCAGAAAAGTGATGATGTGACGAAAAGGACCAGGACCCGAGACTGAGACCTGGACTGACGTTGCCTGACAAAGCCACGCCCGCTTCTGCACATTTTAATGATATGATATGTGAATAATGTGAGTCAGTCTGAGCAGGGTCAGATACAGAGGTCATCGCAGAGCGCCTGGTTGACCTCTTTCTCATAGTTTAGGGACAGTTACTTTAAGCTCAGCTCATAGGATTAGATCAGGGTTAGCTACGAGCTTTTTGAGTTTTGTATTTAATTGTGAAGATAAAATATTTAATTAACTTTTGGAATCTTGCCTCTCATTTCTCTTTATCAAATAAAAGACACGTCCAAGTCTATTTTTAGACAATGATCACCTGGAGGGGAGCGCTAAAGCAGAGCTTGATGTTCATAGTTCAGGGGAAAGGGATACTGCAGAAAAAATGTCATTCTTACAGAAAACTATAGTTGTTCCCAGTCCTATGTGGTTGCTCAGCTTCAAATGTTTCAACGCAGTCAGAGGGGGAGCCTTTGACAGAATTTTCTCATGCCCTTGAATCACTGATGGACGTAGTCATAAACAAAACACCAGGGGGCATTCCAAATTCTGACCAAATATTACATGACCCATTTGTAGAGCAAGGACACGATGATTTGTTAAAGAAGCTATACCCGATTTTTTTTCTAAGTAAAAAAAAATGCTTTTTACTACATAAAAGTTGTATGATAATACGTAATTTAAATAATGTTCATATAGCGCTGTTACTCCCTGTCTACTTAGCTCTTATTTTGAAGATGCCACAGGATGTAGTCATGTTGTTCTACTGCTAACTTCCTCTGCGCTCACGGCCACGGCTGCGGTTTCCCGTGATGCCAAGTTGTTCAACTTCTACAATAAATATGCGCAGACAAGAGGCTAAAGTTACCAACGTGAGAGCACCGTTTATTCTTCACTAGCCATCTCCTCGACCTGCACTCCTTAACAGTCTATCTCTAACTTTAGCTCTAACTCTAACCCTATCTCTAACTTATGGTACAGTGAATGCTCATATTGCAGACGGTTCACAGATACTAATCTCTGTCTGTTATCACACAGAGGTTCCATGGTGTAATGGTTAGCACTCTGGACTCTGAATCCAGCGATCCGAGTTCAAATCTCGGTGGGACCTGATCTTTATGTGTTGAATTAAACTCTGAACTATTTCTGAAAAATAACAGAGATAAAAGATGAAAGAACCAGAGCTCACTGGGCTCACATGGTCCCAAACCCAAGAAGTGCACTTGGTCTCTATGATGGTCTGTAATGTTATCAGAACAAGTATTGATACCAGCATCAGATACTCGAGTACAGAGAGAGAGAGAAACCCTGCTGTGACACACTGGGACAGAGTTTAAAGCTGAGAAAAGAACTGGTGTGAAATCTACAGCATCTATTTCAGCCTGTTGTAATACCTCCTGTGTCCACCAGGCGCCGCTGCCTTCCTACAGCAGCAGAGACCAGAGAGAGACCAGGGAGAGACCAGAGAGAGACCAGAGAGAGACCAATCAGAAGAGTCAAACAGTACAGATATTTAAACAGGAGGACGACAGCATGTTATGGTCTGATTTCTTCACAACTTTCTTCTTTCTGACGACTTTTTCACTTTAATGAATGAAAACAACACTTTATAAATGTGACCAAATGTGACTTTTCATAGAAAGTTCCTGTTCCGCTGAGAGCATCCTGGTCTTCATCACATTAAAGCAAGATTGAAGCCAAAGTGTCCAAAGAGAACAGGAGTAGACAGTATAAGAAGTATGTAAACACAGAGGTCTGACTGCTGAATACTCGGCTCTCCTCTCCACAGACACGACTTGGAACTCACTGCTCTCTAATGTACAGCACTGTATGAAGTCACAGCTAAAGTCAAATCTATATTTCATTCAATAAATCATTGTCTGATAAAGAGCAGGCATGTCCAAACTGAGGCCCGAGAGCCAACTGTGGCCTGCTGCATCATCGTATGTGGCCCTCCTCCTCGCTGACCATAAATACCATTGAGACTTAGAAACACAAGTGTCATCCAGCCAGCTTCAGCTCCGCCCATACAGACATGTTAGACCTCGTTCTGACGTTTGTTTTCACCGTCACTAAAGTCTGATGTCGCTGGTGAGAAAGTAAACATTAGTCATCCAGCCAACTCCAGCTCTCCCAGAGGAGAATGGGGAGGAGAAGATGCTGAGGGAGGTGTAGAAGGAGGAGAAGATGCTGAGGGAGATGGTGTGACTGGACCAAGCTCTAAGTATCTCTAACTCTATCTCTAACTATTTCTAACTCTATCTCTTACTATCTCTTACTCGATCTCTAACTATCTCCAACTATATTCACAGTTCCAAGTTCCTGGGAACCCACATATGTGAGGACTAGTCCTGGATCATCAACACATCCACCATGATCAAGAAGGCCCACCAGCGCCTTTTCTTCTTAAGAACTCTCAAGAAGAATCACATGTCTCCGTCCGTAATGCTGCATTACTGCGGCTGCGGCTGTAAAGTGCCAAACTGCTGTTGTGTCTTTAGGCAAGACACTTTACCCCCAATGCCTAGAATGAGTCTGGTGTGTGTGTGAATGGTTGGTGGTGGTGGGAGGGGCCGATGGCACAGACTGGTTGCCTCGCTTCTGTCAGTGTGCCCCAGGGCAGCTGTGGCTACAGTAGTAGTTTATCACCACCGTGTGTGGAGTGAATGAATTGCTTATTATTATTATTATTATTATTATTATTATTATTACTATTATTATTATTATTATTATATCTAACTATCTCTAACTCTTTGGGCAGCACAGTGGCTGAGTGGTTATCACTCTCGCCTCTCAGAAAGAAGGTCCTGGGTTGGAATCCCGGTCGGACCAGGGCTTTTCTGAGTGGAGTTTGCATGTTCTCCCCGTTTCTGCGTAGGTTTCCTCTGGGTACTCCGGTTTTCCCCTATCACTAAAAACATGTACAATAGTTCTGGCATGTGCCTCCTGCACTGGCCCCGCTCCCAACTCTGTGTGGAGTGAGAGACTAATGAACAAAAATAACAATTGTAAACCGCTTTGTGACTCTGGTCTGTGAAAGGCGCTATATAAATAAACATTACTTACTTAACTATATATCTATCTTTATCTCTATCTTTAACTCATTGACTGCCAGCTGTTTTTGATTATTTCACTCACTTTATAGACCCACAGAATATTGTGTGCTATGACTATGGGAAACATGGAACCAGATTTTGAGAATTGGACTGTCTACGTTCATCAGGAAAAATATGTTGGTTTCTAGCTAGTTTCGTTCTCCTGTAATCCCCAGTCGAATACAAGGAAGTTTGACCGAAGTATTACAAAAAACACGTCAATGGCATTCAATGAGTAAACTCTAACTCTATCTCTAAATATATCTAAATGTCTCTAACTATCTCTAATTAGCTCTATCTCTAACTATCTCTAAATGTATCTAACTATTTCTATAACTATCTTTAACTCTGTCTCTATCTCTAACTATCTCTAAAATGTCTCTAACTATCTTTAACTCTGTCTCTATCTTTAACTCTAGCTCTATGTCTAACCCTATCTCTAACTTATGGTACAGTGAATGCTCATATTGCAGACGGTTCACAGATACTAATCTCATGTTGTGTTCTTTGCTCTGATTATTTTCCTGTAAATTCGCAGCAAAACGTAATGAATCCAGATTCAGATGAATGTAATACCTCCTGTGTCCAGCAGGCGCCGCTGTCTGTTATCACACAGAGGTTCCATGGTGTAATGGTTAGCACTCTGGACTCTGAATCCAGCGATCCGAGTTCAAATCTCGGTGGGACCTGATCTTTATGTGTTGAATTAAACTCACAGACCAGTTCACACCCAAGAAGTGCACATGGTCTGAACTGGTCTGTGATGGTCTGTAATGTTATCAGAACAAGTATTGATACCAGCATCAGATACTCGAGTACAGAGAGAGAGAGAAACCCTGCTGTGACACACTGGGACAGAGTTTAAAGCTGAGAAAAGAACTGGTGTGAAATCTACAGCATCTATTTCAGCCTGTTGTAATACCTCCTGTGTCCACCAGGCGCCGCTGCCTTCCTACAGCAGCAGAGACCAGTGAGAGACCAGAGAGAGAGACCAGAGAGAGAGACCAGAG